CCACAAGTTCATGTGATACTTAGCACAAAAGAAAAAAGATGTGCTCTTTTGAGCACAAAAGAAAAAAGATGAACAAAATATGGCAAACTTGGGAATCCTAAAAATATAGGAAAATTTTCTTCCTATTCCTTTATTAATACAGACTAGAAATGAAATCTGTTCTGACAGTCTTAAGAAACCTCAAGAGATTTAAATGCTTTTTACAAAGGAAGCATGCTCTTAAAAGATTTAAATAATGTAATTTTCTGTCTTTTTGAAAGGTTCAAAAATATTTTATTAGGCAATAATTTGGTTTCAGTTTATTAGACTACTGTAATCATACAAAGTATTTTTTGAATGTTTTATTTACTATCATGTAAAATCTGACAATTTTAATAACATTTATCACAAATAAACACATTCTAGTCTTTATATTATTTCTAACCTCTTCACTAAACACACTTTCCCAGGAGAAACTGGATCCTTCTAAAGTTAATTTCCACTACTAATCTTTAAGAGTGTAAACGGTGTAAGGAAATTCTAGTAAGCAACCTTATTTGCAATAGAACAGAATCTAAGAAATCTACAATAAATATGTCTCTAGCTGCTTGCTTATCAGGCTCACTGTCACCTCAATGTAGTGTGTTAAACATATAACCTACCTCTTCATATCCTCCCTCACAGTATACTATCAACAAGTATACCTCAAATATACCACAATATACCTCAACAAAACAGAATGAAACAGATTCTTCTGGACTTCTTTGTCATGTCATAAGTGCATCTGTCATAGTATTATCATTTTATCAGTCACTTATATAAAAAAACTTCTAAGTTTAGGTTCTTATTAGCTCCTTCCTGGGTTATTTTAGCAGACTCCTACTTTGTCTCCCCACTTCTAGTCTATCCCCACTTGAATCTGACAAGCATCAGCCCACTAGCCAGCTTCAATGCCACTTTAATCACATTACAACTTGGTGCAAGAATCTCAAACTGACTTCTATCCTATGAGCAGTGGAAAGCAAACTCTTTGTAATAGTATTCCAAGTCTTTATCTTTGCTTCTGTCCAGTGTGAACTCTCTCTGCAATCAGGCTGATCTATCACCAGCTCCTACTGATGACCTGCTCAAGCTGCCCTCTAGCCCTCACTTCTTTGTCAATGCAAATTCATCCCCCTGGCATGCTCAACTGAAAAGTCAATATGGTTTTCAGCTGCAAATAAATTCTCTACCTGCAGAATTTCAACAACACTCATATACGGTCTCACCCATTGATTAGGCACTAAATCATACTGTCTCCTACTGGCAAGCAATTATACATCTATGATCTAATTTCATTAAGTAGAGCTAATTCACTTATGGGCATTTTTATTTGTTGTGCTTCTCAGAGCCCCTCATACACAGCTAGAAACCTGGTAAATGCTCAATATTTGGTGAGCAATGAATGATCTGTATAAAGTTGTATAAAGTTGTATAAAGCCAAATATATTTATAGTTTGCTAAGGCTTCTAAAAGATGAATTATTATTTTATGTACATTCATGTATCAGGGGTCTCCAAGAACATCCCCAGGTTGAGTGATCCACTGGGAAGACTCATAGGACTCAGCATATAGTCATACTCATGTCTAAGATTTATTATAGTGAAAGGACACAAAGCAGAATCAGGAAAGGGAAAAAGGTCCATGGACCAAAGTTCCTGGGAAACCAAGGGCAAGTTTCTGGAGTCACCCAGAACACAGTTACTCCGGAATCAAATTGTGGTAACACATCTGTCTACCAAGGAAGCTCATTTCGTGACTGGTCATATAGACACCCTTCCCCTGGCACAGACCAAAATTCCAGACTCCTAGAAAGTATTCAGCGTAAATCACATTGTTTGTAGTCTAGGCACAGTGAGCCACTCTAAAGTTTTTATCAGCGTTGGGGAACTGGTGACCATTCAATTCCCTGATACCAGCAAAAACATTGTAAGCAGGCCTTTCTAAGAAAAGTAGTCCTGAGCCTGCTATGTTATCCCTTTTCTATGTAGTTAATTTCATATTTTTTAATGGGAGAAATGTTATAGTGTTACCCATATTTGATTTATAGGGGGCACATAAAGTTATTTTTAAAAATTAAATTCTAGCATTTAATTAGAGATGCAATGCCTAGCCTGGCACCCAATAATTAAAAGTTAGGCAATTTAAAAATAATTCACATCCTTTAGGTATTTCAGGTTTTCTCCTCCCCCCCTCCCCACCTTGTAGAATAAGGTATCTTTTTCAATTTTTTATAATGTTTATTTTTGAGAGAGAGAGACAGAACGTGAAGGGGGAATGGCAGAGAGAGGCGGAGAGAGAGAGGAGAGAGAGAGAGAGACAGACAGACAGAATCTGAAGCAGGCTCCAGGTTCTGAGCTGTTAGCACAGAGCCTGACATGGGGCTTGAATTCATAGATGGTGAGATCATGACCTGAGTCGAAGTCAGACACTTAACTGTCTGAGCCACCCAGGTGTCCCTAAGATATCTTCTTCAAACCAATACTTTTGTAATTGTCAGGATAAAGGAATTAAGTATCAACACCTAAAGGAATCAAGCCCTCTCAGACAAGCTCCTGGTCTTCTCTTTAAACATCAATTGGGTGCTACAGCACTGTGGTAGCTGTTTTCAGTACATCATCTAACTAAATCCTCACAATAACCCCATATGCCAGTGATGGTTTCTATTTTATACTTAGAATCTTTGAGAGGCTGAGTAACCTACCCAGGTTAACCACGGTGGAGTAAGGATTTAGGGACAGATCTGCCTCATTCTAAATCCTTGTTCTTAGCTTTACACCAACTACCTCCACCTAACAAGGCACAGGCTCCTTAAGAATCATTTCACTCCAAACTAGGGGTTTTTGTTTGTTTGGCCACACAGAGCACTATTCTCAACCCTACTGATTTTTATTAAGGTCACATTTTTGTTGGAAGAGAAGGGGGTATGTTTAACCCAGGATACTCTGCTTTTTCCTTTCCAACTCTTGCAAATTAGAAATCAAATTATACCCCTTGCTTGTTAAAACCATCAGGAAGTTCCCTATTCAGCACAGCACACTTTACTCCTTCCTGCGGCATCAATCTGCTTGAAATCAGACAGACCTGTATCAGGATCTTGGCATTTCACTTACCAGATGTGGGGGCCTTGGGAAAGTTAACCTTTCTGAGTCTCAGCTTATTCACCCACGAAATGGGAAACTCTACAGCATAGGTTTGCTTTGAGAATGATATAAGGTAATAAGCTTAAAGGACTCAACTTACATGTATTTGCTGAATAAGTGATTGCCTGCAACACTGATTTGAACTGATTTGAACTGATTTGTCAGTAGCAAGCCAACTCAGGAGAATTAAGAGAGTAGTAGTACCCTGACCACCAGGTGTCATCACTGGCCCAGAAGAACTGGTCTAACAGCCATTAGTGGGGCATGTGACCCTGCAGCAAACTGGATAAGATCCAGGGTAAGACAGTCATTTGTACCTACGGGACATTCAAGAATTGGCTTTGGTTTTTCAACACTCTAGGAGCTGGTAGAATAGTTGTTACACCATTTTAAGTTACACTTACCAGTGTGTTAAAAATGATTGCAGTGTAATTAATAGCTGAATAGCTGCAAAAGACTTGTCACCACTATTTAATTTTAAAAAGTATCCTTGGCTGTTTCTTGATTCTGAGAGTCAATAACGCTTTATAAATCCTCGGCTTTGGCCAATTAGCCATTACATTTTCTGGCTTCTACAGGCTTCAGTGTTGCCACTGTAGACAATTTTCTGGCCCTAATTTCACAACCTATTTATCTTATGCTCTTTCCATTAATAGGGATGATAGAGCAAAGAAAGGAGAATATTTTTTTACGGTAAACATAAAGTCCATGAACAGTAAATTTAGGCAAAGTAGGCACTAATTGTTAACCTCTTTCCTTGACGTCAGGAACTTAAAAGTTCATTTTTTAAAATTTTGTAAATTTCCTATTTTCTTAAGAACACTTACCTTAGCGTAATCTGCCAACCTACCCAAGGAACACTATCACCCCTGACTTCGGTTGGCCACCTGCCAACGACTCTCCCTGAGGGTCCCCTGGGGCTCAATTCAAAAAGAGCGCTGGTCTAGGGGCGCCTGGGTGGCTTAGTCGGTTAAGCGTCCGACTTTCGCTCAGGTCATGATCTCGCGGTTCATGGGTTCGAGCCCCGCGTCGGGCTCTGTGCTGACTGCCAGCTCAGAGCCTGGAGCCTGTTTCAGAGTCTGTCACTCCCTCTCTCTCTGACCCTCCCCTACTCACGCTGTCTCTCTCTCTCCTAGAAATAAATAAAAATATTTAAAAAAAAAAAAGCGCTGGTCTGGGCTCTCCTGGTTCTAAGTCCTTCGCACTGAGAGCCACCAGCCGCCACCTCAAGTCTGGTAATTCGGTGAGTGTTAAGCGCGTAACTGGAGACGCATCTCTCCGATGAGGCACAGACTCAGGGAACCCTTGACTCAAGTCAAGTCAAGCCTGATCAGGCCTACCCTAGCCACATCCTGGGCTCCTGAGTCCCGAGTAAGCAACAAGAGAAAAGGAGTTAATGCTAAGCACAGGTTTCTGTGCAGAGCGAGGGCTCTTGGAACGGCAAGCAGTTCGGGTTATTTCTGTTTCTGTTTCAACAACAGTTCAAATTCCACTTTGCATTTCACAAATATGGAAACGTCTTACGAGAAACCAGAAGCATTCTCTCCCTTCTGGCCACTGCACCCATTCCTAGATAATTTAGGAGGGAAGAGTAGATACCAGGAACCATCTGGAATCAGGAGAGCAGGAGCCAAGCCCAGCTGAGATGGACCCATTTGCGAAGCACTCTGTGCAGATCGATAACTCCTGACTGATTTCAGACTTGGTCCCCGGAGGAAGAGGAGCTCACGAGGCTGGCCTTCCCCCTGAAGCAAACGGGCCAAGGAAAGACAAGCTGCCCATCAAGCAAACCCCCTCGGGACAGGCGGAGCGGCTCGCGAGGCGCCGAGGGCGCGTTACCTGGGGGACTCGGCGGTGAAGCTGCCGCCGTCCAGCAGCCGCATCTTGCAGAATAGGACCCCGTTGACGAAGGGCACCGAGGAGAGCTCTTCGAGCTCAAAGTCCACCTTAAACTTAAACTTCTTCTTCTTCATCATCATGAGAGCCAGACGCCGGCGAGCGGGATGCGGGGGCGGCCCCAAGGGGCGCGCGGGCCGGCGCCGCCGCCTCAGCTCGCCGGAGCCCCGGGCCCGCGCAGCCCCAAGGCCGGGGCCGCGAGCTGCGCGCGGGGGCGCGGCCGGGGGGCGCCGCGGGCCGGCTGGAGCCGGGGCAGGGGCCGCCGCCGCCGCCGCCGCCGCCTCTCGCGGCAGCCCGGGCCGGAGCGCGGCGGCGCGGACCCCGCCCGCCCGCGAGGAGCGATCGTGCTGCAGCTCGCCTGGGCGGTGGGCGCCTTTTCGGTGTGCAGCTCGCCGCTGCCGCCGCCCGTCTGAGAGCCGGGGGAGGCGAAGACCTGAGGACTGCCGTTGCCGCCGCCGCCTCCGCGCCGCGGGGCCCGTGGCGCCCCCAGCGGCTGCGGCCAGCATCGCACCGCGGGGCGGAAGCGGGAGGGCGGGCGAGGAAATTCGGGGCGGGCGGGCGCTTCTCCGGGAAACTGACCCACGACGGCAGTTAGAGCGTCACGCCTCTCTGGGGTTAAAAAAAGACAAAACCCAACCAAAATGGAGCTTCCTTCTACAGCTTCCCCTCAGCCTTCTTTCAGTTTTTGCTTCGCCTCCTTCCTCCCCTCCCCCTCCAGTGATTTTTTCCCCTTCTCTCATGGGTTTGAGTCATGGGTTAATAGGATTAATCAGAATCTCCACGACGTTACTTTAATCAAATTGAAATTCTAAAACTAAAATTTCCTTTAGGTATTCTAAAGCCAGGAGGCTTCTAATATAAGGACAAGGTAAGAAAAAGGAAAGGGATTAAAGCGTGTTGAAGGCATACAAAGTGCCCAGGCACTACTGCGGTGGGCGTTTTCTCTTATTTATACTTACTTATTTAAAGTTTTTTATTTATTTTAGAGAGAGGAACACATTAGGGGTGTGTGTGTGTGTGTGTGTGTGTGTGTTGGGGGGCGGGGGGGGGGGAGAGACAGAGGAAGTGACACAGAATCAGAAGCAGGCTCCAGACACCAAGCTGTCAACACAGAGCCTGACATGGGGACTGGAACTCAGGAACTGTGAGATCATGACCTTGGTGGAAGTCAGACGCTCAACCGAGCCACCCAGGTGCCCGGTCTTATTTATATTTTAATTCCTGTTCCCGAGGATAAAAGAGTATAGGAGGGGTTAAAAAATATCTTCCCTTTTAAAATGTGGCTGTCCATAACAGAGACCTGAAAAGCCTGCAAATAAAGTTCCCTAGATGCATAGCAATTACCTTCTTTCCATAGGCATATATATGTTGTTACAATGTATTTGCCTACTTGATCACATAAAGTTAGTGTTTTCAAACTGAATTGTCCTTTCAACTCAAATATTCCCTCCCACTAATCTCTGAAAGCTGTAATTGAAGAGCTTCTCATTCCCAGTTCACTCATTTATTCATGCATTCATTTATATAAAAGTTTTTTAAAAAAAATTCTTAATGTTTTTTATTATTTCTGAGAGAGAGAGAGAGAGACAGTGTGAGCAGGGGAGGGTCAGAGAGAGGGAGACACAGAATCTGAAGCAGGCTCCAGGCTCTGAGCTAGCTGTCAGCACAGAGCCTGACGCGGGGCTTGAACCCACAAACTGTGAGATCATGCCCTGAGCCAAAGTCAGACACTTAACTGAGCCACCCAGGTGCTCCTGTATAAAATAGTTTTTAATTGCCTAGGATGTCAGTCATTGTCTAGAACCAGTGATCAAAACACCAAAAACCTGACCTCAAGAATTTTACAACCTAGTGAGAGACACTTATTAAAAACGAAATCTAGCATCAAGTTGTATTTGTTCAGAATGAAGAAGCAATTTGTCTAGAACTCAGAAGAGGAAACACCTTGGTGAAGCTGACCCAAAGATTTGCCTCTGTTCAGGGTGGAAGAAATAGAAGACCTAGAGGCAGAGTACAGGAGTTAGGGGCTGAAGGTTTTGTAGTGGATAAAGCTAGCTGCCCAGCATGGCAAGGGAGGAATGGCAGTGGGAAGAGTTAAGGGGTCTTTGGGGTTTGTAATCTGGACAATTAGATGCATGTTAATTCCACTGGTTGAGTTTTGGAAGCAGGAGGAGGGCAGGCTGGGAATGGAAGAGATTCTGAGCCTTTATTTGAATTGCCTGTGAGATATTCAGGGCGAGAAGGGGAGCCTTAGCTCAGGTGAAAGTTTAAGATTGAAAACATGTGAGATTTAGAGTATTTTCTCTGATGGCTGAAGCCCCAGAGGTGGATAAAAATGAGTTACTCTGAGCAACATTTCTTGGGTATATGGAAGAAGGTGCCTGAGACAGTCAGAAAAAGAGGAGATCAAGAGAGATGACCTGAAAACCAAGAGCTTTGATCATTTAACATTTATAGTTATTAAGACCTACTGTGTGCTAGGCACTATGCTTGGGACTAGAGATAGAAATGAACAGGGGCACCTGGGTGGCTCAGTCGGTTAAGCCTCTGACTTTGGCTCAGGTCACAATCTTATGGTTTGGGAGTTCGAGCCCTGCATCGGGCTCTGTGCTGACACCTTGGAGTCTGGAGCCTGCTTTGGATTCTGTGTCTCCCTCTCTCTGCATCCTGTCTCTCAAAAATGAATAAACATTAAAAAAATTTTTTTAAAGAAATGAACAAGACACACGGACTTATAAATGAATGGAGGATAGCATAGATAGGCAAACAGAATAATGAGAGAGAGAGAGAGAGATCCATGATTCCTGCAGAACAGAGGAGGGAATTTCCAGAAAGTCCTGCAGAGCATTCCTAGAGGATTTAGACTGAAAAGAATCTATTGAAGATCTGAGAGGTCAAGTCATTGGTACTATTGGCAAGAGAAGTCCCCTTAAAAGGTGGTGGCAAAATAAGATTAAAATGGTCTGGGAAGTAAATGAAAGGTAGTAATGAGAAGTGGGTGACTGAAATTTTTTTATGATTTCTGTCAATGAATGAGAAGAGACAGGACAGTAGGTAGAGGAGGAGGGTTCAAGCTTTTTCAATAACACTTGGGTACTATCTAAGATTTATTGAGAATCTGTTATGTACCAAGCACCTTAATAGGCCTTAGAGATCTGAGTTGCTGTTCTGGTTCTATATGCTACGGTCTACCGGAGGACACAGGTAAGGCCCAGGCAGTTGCAGTAGGATGTAACATTGGGTTCTATCTATGCGTGCTGGGGAAGAGAGGCTGCCTTGGGAGCACATAATAACCTCTAACTAGCGTAAGTAGGTTTATGAAAGAGTTTCTGGGGTAAGTGACATTTATGCTGATGTCTGAATGATGAGTGTGAGGGGTAGGGAGCAGTTTCCAGGAAGAAGGTACTGTATGTGCAAAGGCTCAGAGGAAGAGAGACCATGTTGCAGGGGGAACTGAAAGTAGTTTAGTCTGGCCGCAACTTAGAGTGGGGTGTGGTGACAGGGATATAATAGCCAGCCATAGATGTTTTAACACAGAGGAATGACATATTTTGGTTTGCAGTTTATAAAGATCTCCAGCTGGAGGGAGAGAGTCTAGTAGCACTCTCTTTTTGATTCATGGTGTGATTATTAAACACCTTTTATGAATCAAAGTCCAGGCAAGAAACAGATATCATACTCAAATTTTTACATAAGGAAACTTCAATGAAAGGAATCTTTACTGAGTGCAGGATAAAAGGCCCACAGATTGGTGGGGAGTTGAAATTAGGGGGGGATAAGTATCCTGACCTCTTTCATTTCCTGCCTCTGAGCTCCTGCTGTACCTCCCAGGATCCAAAGTCAGAGGGCAAAGGAACTTGGAAGATGCAGTTCATAGAGGATGGCCTCCTAAGGCCCAGAGTAGAACACAGAAGGGTAGAGAGAAGTCAGAGATGAGGGGACAGAAAGCTACCAGCCCATACCTGATTCAGTCTGGGCTCACCATCGGAACCTGAAACCACTCTACACATTTCCAAAAACAAAACTATATCAGTTAGGTAATTCAGCGCTTCAAACCCTTGAAAGGACTGGAGGAATGGAATTCAACAGACTAATGATATGAATTCAAGCTCACATCATTTATAGTAAACATTGCTAGGGGCGCCTGGGTGGCTTAGTCGGTTAAGCGTCCGACTTTCGCTTAGGTCATGATCTCGCGGTTCATGGGTTCGAGCCCCACGTCGGGCTCTGTGCTGACTGCCAGCTCGGAGCCTGGAGCCTATTTCAGAGTCTGTATCTCCCTCTCTCTCTGACCCTCCCCTGCTCACGCTGTTTCTCTCTCTCCTAGAAATAAATAAAAAATATTTTTAAAAAAAACATTGCTAGCGTTCACTAATACCTGATTCTCCTTTGCTTCCTGGGCATATGAAGATTACATTTCCTGACCCTCTTGCAGTTAGGTGGGGCCATGTGACTCGCTCTAGCCAATAAAATGTGAGAAGTAATGTGTCACTTCCAGAATGAGGCTGTGAAAAGCCCTTGAACAGTTTTCTAGACGTTTTCTTTCCTGCCACAATAGTCATAAGGGAAATCTTGGATTAAAATGTAGTAGCCACAAGATTGAAGCAGCCCAGACCACTGAGTCAGCACGAGAAGAACAAGTCACCACACCTAAAGTTTCACCCCTAGTTTTATTGAGATATAATTGACATAACATTAGATTAGTCAAAGATGTATAATATAATGATTTGATATAGGTATATATTATGAAGTGATTACCTTAAGTTTGGTTAACACCAAATATTTCACAGTTACAGATTTGTTTTCTTGTGATGAGAACTTTAAGATCTACTCTCTTAGCAACTTTTAAATACACAGTACAGTATTAACTACACTCACTATGCTATATATTACATCTCAGAACTTATTTATCTTATAGCTGGAAGCTTAACTTTTGGCCCCCTACACCTGTTTTGCCTTCCCCTCTCCTCACACCTCTGGCAGTCTGTTGTCTGTATCTATGAATTTGTTTTTGTTGTTGTTGTCATTTTTGTTTTTTGGATTCCACATATAAGTGAGATCATACAGTATTTATCTTCTTGTGTCTGACTTTTTTCACTTAGCACAGTGTACTCAAGTCCATCCGTGTTGTTGCAAGTGGCAGGTGTCCTTTTTTATGGCTAAATAAGACATTATTGTATAAATGTACCACATTTCTTTATATATTCAG